GCCTGTTCCAGGGCTCCGTCACCCTCGGAGGGAAGAAGTTCTTCCTCACGTTCAGACAGAACTTCCTGTGCTTCAGTTTGTGCCCATTGCCCCTTGTCCTGTCGCTGGGCACCACGGAAAAGAGCTTGGCCCCACCCTCCTGACACCCATCCTTCGGATATTTATAAGCATTTATAAGGTCCCCTCGCAGCCTTCTCTTCTTCAGACTGAACAAGCCCAGATCCTTCAGCCTCACCTCGTAGGGGAGATGTTCCAGTCCCCTCACCATCCTTGTAGCCCAAAGAATATAAGAATATGAGAATGTATCACCCAGGCAACATCTGAAAAGAGAAGAACTTTGGGATCTTCACATCTGGAAGATGTACACCTCGGTATCAACAACACCAACATTTTGCTTGGCACAGCCTGCCTGCTACTGAATCCCAGGACCATACCGTGACAGCAAGAGGAGATCCCAGCAATGCGGCATCGCCTTGCACCGTGCCTTGCAGCAGCGGATGATCTGCCAGGCAGAGTTTCTGGTCCCCTGCTGAGATCAGACTGCCTGAATAGCAAAGACACAGTTGGCAGGAGATTAAAAAAAGGCTCTCCCCACAGTGCCCACAACCCTGCTGTCCTAAAGGCGGGTATTTCACCAGCTAGCACAGAGAGTCAGTTTCCATCGGTCTTTACACCCAGCAGGCAGGTAGAGGAAGCTGTGAAAAACACAAGATTCTGCATCGCTATGTGCTTTTTCCACTTTAAAGCTGGTTTAGGTCGTACTAGCACAGCCTGTGCATATTATGCCCCACAGAAAAAAAGAACATGCATTGCCTTGTATGGGCTCTGAACTCACGCAATGGTCCTGGTCTCTTGGGAAACTTCTTTGGCTTTCTTAAGCCTGTGTTCCATCCCTTGCTGTGGAGTTTTATTGTTTGTTTTGGGGTTTTTTTTGAAAGAAACATGAAGAAATTACATGGTTCATTTTGGCAAACAATCTTTAATAGAAACATATAATACAACTTCTCACATAAATATTTTATATAGACACATAAACATCATACTCAAACCTACGCAATGTTCCAAAGCTCCAGTTCTGTTTAAACAGTGCAAGGAAAAAAAAAAAAATCACCAGCACGGGAAGAATGCAAGTGTGACCTTTCTAAAACATAAATAAATAATCAAATTATTTCTCTTGTGCCTTTACAGCTCACTTAAATACTGACTGCCTCAACGTGTTAATCAGTTGTGTTCTTACAGCACAGCTGCAGGGGCAAGCAGAGACAACGCATGTTCACGAACAGGGCGGTGCCAGGAAAGGAGGCCGTTCAGAGAGGGATCCGACTGCCATCCTGCCATGTATCGAGGGCATCACACCACTTTCCCTGGAATCCAAGCGATGACCGCTTTGGAAATTATTGTCTGACAGGATTGTTCGCGTTGAATTGCTGGCATCGTGCAGGTAGGTGGTTAAGTACCTGCATCCGGATCTTTTATTTACTTTGCATTTATGTTGTACAGTGACCATCTGTTGTTAATTACCAGCATACAATCAAGGGCAATATAGCTAAACTTCAAGTCCACACACTTGTTTTTCTTGACTTGCTACAGCTAACAGGAAGCAACTTCACTGAATCACTTTAAAAGCGGATTCTGAAGAGGGGAAAAGTGTGAAGGATGGTAAGCTTAGATCACAGCCGATAAATAGTTTTATGCCTGCCTACTGTACAGTTTTCAGAAGACAGTGAAACAGAACATCAGGCTTTCCCTTGCCCCATATGTGAGAGAACTGACAAAAGCAATAATAAAGAAATAACAAACTTGCACCACAAAACTCACTCTCCCCAGCTCACATGTAGACAAGTTTTCGGATTTGCAGCACCAAGGGTTGAAGAAACACAGTGCAGTTTAGATGCTCTATTTCTTAAACTCAAGAGGAGCTCGGGCTAATTCACAAGTCAAAGGCATATACTTTTTCAATCTACTACAACAACAAAGAGCCTCCTCATTCTCCACAAAGTGAGGGGAATGGAAGAACTTTCCCAAAGTAAAAGCTAACACTGCTTTAGGCCTGAATCAAGATAAAAATCAATAGACTTTAAGATTCTGACACACCAGAATAAATTCTCTAGTTCTTCCTTTGTTACTTGACCAGGCAGGAGTACAAGGCATAAAAGTCACTGAAGTGTTCCTACATTTCAAGTTTCTGAGGAGGTCGTTACTAAATTCAAGATTTATCACCTGGCATTCTTTGCTCACTTGCCTCCTTTTTAAGAGCCTAAGTTTCTGTCAGCACAAGTCGCACAATGCTAAATCAGGAACTAAAATATTCACGAAGCGTCTTGCAGGCGACACCACGCACTGCCCTTGATGCCACAGCCCAGGATGATCAACAGATCCACCTCACACATCAGATTAAGAAAGCCCCAAATAAATTCAGGCTTCCAGAACAATGTGTTAGTTTGATCCCACGCACAGAGCAATGAAAGACAGATGAGGTAACTCTTGCAAGTGCCACCTTACTCCACCAGGTCAGCAACCCCGGACTTGGTTCTCCAGCTCTCTGTGCCCGCAGTGCTCGGCACAAGCAGCGGCATGCGCAGTTACCACTGCTTCGCGCACTCTCACCAGTTCAGCTCACTAAGGGTTGGAGGTAACAGCAAAAGAAAGGAAGAGTTTTTCCTGTTTAGGATTTGGCAAATCATGTGCCCACACGCCTGACAGTGAGAAGCAGCAGAGGGAATCTGTCAGCTTGTCAGTGACAACGTGGAATGATTTCATGCGATGCTCTATTATTAACACGTAGACATGTGCACACGGGATCCTCCACCACCATTCTTGGGGACTCCTGCACTGCGTAGAACCAGTGTCCCCTCACACACAGGCTGAGGCTAAAAACAGGCAGCACCTTCCAAGCCTCCAGCCCCTCCCCTCACACTTAGACTTAACTTTCATGTCAGTCATCAAACCCTCTCGGAGTTGGAATCTGTTCAAGAACATCTTTTACAACCCACGTCCCCTCTACTCTTGTGCTCAGGGGGTTGCCAGGGCAGGCAGTGATGGTGCAAATTGCACTCTAAACTTTACAAACAGGTAGGTAGTACTGGTTGTTCTTACAGCTACAGTGTCACGTCTTCATATTGAGAGACATCTGCTCTGTTTCTAATGTGAATTGTAATATTCCTAATTTAAGAAAATAAAAGCCAAAGCTATGTTTTCTGCAAGGCACACTACAGAACACAATGCATGCTTCCATGCCCAGTTTTGTGGCAACGCCAACAGAGCTGCAAGAGTCCCAACCCAGCCAGCATAGAGGCACAAGTGAAGAGCGGAGCAGGCTGTACCCAAGCTTGGACAGCACGCTATGAGGTCTGTGTAACAAAGTAGGAATAGGGAAGAAGGCACAGTGGATGAAAAAAGGGTATTTATCACCAAGCCTAAACTCAGGAATACTGAAATGTGGACTACCTGCTAAGAGAAAATGATCAGCTGGAAAACTGTGAAGGGTCAGCGTGGAGCCCAAAGAGAACAAAAGTTCCCTACCAAACACTCACAGGTCTCAAATTTTGGAGAAAGCTTACAGAGAAGAGCAGCCTTTTCTTTCCAAACCCAAAGATACTCCACATGCAATCAGCAGCAGCTTTTAAGGGAAATCTGAAGTGTCAGTATCTGTATCTGCTTCCATTATACATTTACGCATCATGAGCTACGACCCCAAAAGCTACATCTAAGGACCAGCCCACACTGAGGGTGTTGATCGGGGATTAACAAATGAATAATAGGAAGCAAAGAAGTCTCTAGCACAATTGGATTAAAAA